GAAAGTTTAACTCTCAACTAATTGTAACAAAATTATGACCAGGATATGTAGACAACACTATTGGACACTCATTTATCACTAGAAAACCCAACCGAAATTGGCCCCTGTTTTGAGAAGAGGGAGCTAACTTGCTAGGTTGGCTGCTAACATTTGCATGTATTGATTTGCAAATCTAGGTAATGACTTATAACAGCAGGGGGCTGGGGTGGGCTTTGTTTATTCGTGCGGGGGAGGGAGAGCTGCAAGAGAATACTACAGTAGTCTGTGAGACCACAGATACACATGTGGACAAGAGATGCCATGGCAGTGCTGTGTACCCTGAGAATGCACAGTATATATTTTGTAATCAGTTTTTCTCAGTGTCTTTGGTGCATTTTTCACATAATTCTTCACATTTTAACAACAGTTTGTGCATTTCTCAGAACAATGAGTGCAAACTGCAAAACCTCATGGATAACCTGCTAAAAAGTCACTTTCTCAAAATGAACTTAATTCCTCAAAAGAAAGTCTTCATGTCAATGAAACTGTCTGTGTCTCAAAAGAATAAGTCCTGACACCAGTGTTTATGAACAACAGTCAAATGATTTAGTCATGTTTTCATTGTGACTGTATTTAGTGATACATATGTATGTACTGCTTATGCTCTTTGCAATTCTACAGCATTCTGCAACAAAAATAGTACACATACAGTGTTTACGTAGAAAAACATACAAAAAATCATTACGGTAGAACCTCCACAACATTGAGTCGTGTGTGACATCATCGCGGCAGTTTCTCCTTTGAACACTTTACAAATGCTTTTGGACATGTATCAGTTACTTTCATACAGTTCTCTGCTGTTTTATAACATTATCATTTGCTTCTGTCCTGTCAATCAGAATGAAACATACTTATCACGACTGAATAGTTTCTGTAAAACCAGTAGTCCTCATTTCATCGCTTTGGTCATCACATACAAAACTGTTCAAAACCAAAATCTGTCAAACTAATTTCATACATTACTTTATCTTTTTATATCCAGAAAATCTTTCCTAATTTCGAATTTCAGCTTCACTCATGACGAGGTGTGTGTTTTATTGTTTACATTTGTCACAGTTCTACCATAATGATATTCTGTATGTTTGCTCTATGTATGTGACTGTATTTCTGTTGCACAATGCTGTAGAATTGCAAAGAGCATATGCAGTAAATATGTGAAATACATACAGTACACAGACATACATCGAAACACATACATGCACAAACACACACACACACAGTAAATACATACATGCACAAACACACACACACACAGTAAATACATACATGCACAAACACACACACACATACAGTACATACAGTATAAATGTTCTTTTACTCTCACTAAATACAGTTGTGTGTAACTTGACTGTAGTTTTCAGCTGTACAGTGCTCACCAAGATCAGATTTTTTGCTTTGAAAACACAGAGAGTAAAGTGTCACAATGAAAACGTGACGAAGTCATTTGACTGTGCTGTTCATACTCCATGTTGTTAAGACTTATTATTTTGAGAGACAGACAGTTTCCTCGACATGAAGACTTGCTTTTGAGGAATAAACTTTTCATTTTGAGAAGGTGATGCACTTTTGCAGGTTATCCCCAAGGTTTTGCAGTTTGCACTAATTGTTCGGAGAAATGCACTAACTGTCGTGCAAATGTGAAGAATTATGTGATAAAGGCACCAAAGACACTGAGAAAAACTGTAAGTAGCATATTTATTTTGTAAACAATGTAAATGTATACATTGAATGACGTTGCTCGTTTGTTTTCTTTCAATTCACTTTATTATTTTCATTATTATTTTTTAACTAAAGTCAGCATGACACTAGATTTAACTCATTTTAACTAATCAGATCCTCCCTCTCCCGAAGAAGACAAAGTAAAGTGGCTGAGCAACTTCAGCTCAGCCTGTGATAATGGCCTTATTTACATAACAAAGTTGGCCGTTCACAGGTGATTTAGTTTGTTAGCTAAAATCCTTGGAGTCATTTGGCACCGTGGTGGGCTTTTTAGGTAGAAGTGCCAAATGGCACCTCCATGGGTTTGCTAGTGTTATACCGTTTATCAGCAAAAAAATTTGAGGGTGAGTTGTCCTGTCCTCGATAATTTGAGGATTTGCTGGGATGATTTCAACAGAGGTTAGACAAGTTACTGTTTTGTATGATATTTAGACTAAATCAATGTGTATATATTCCAAGATATGATACTTCAGCAAATGTAAAGCTAAGTGAATATCAAAAGCCTGAAGCCACATTATAAAACACACAAATGAACAACGTTTGAAAGAGGAACAAAAACACTTGTACATTTTGAATGTATAAACGTAAGCCTAACTGTAATAGGTAGAAATGCTTCCATAAAAAGCCAAAATCATCTATTCATTGGACCTTATTTAGCTTTTTGCAGTATATTTACTACTCATAAACATGAAACCGTGAAGTCACTCTTATTTTGCAACCAAGAAAAGCTAACATTAGCAACATTATCTTTTCCCATAGAAAATACAGCATTATTACCACCGTTACCGTTTTGTAGGTAACGGTGGTAATAACACTTTAGTTTGCTACTAATACTACACAAGTTGTCTGTGGGTATAAAATTATAAGATCAACCGTTCTGGTAAATTAAAAATATTTTTTTCATGACTTACGTCGATGAAGTTTGTACAAAACATACATTCCAGAATGGTGACATCTAAATCTTTTTCCTTATACTTTTAGGACCCCAGTTCAGTTGAATATGCAGTTTCTGAGAGCAGTGACTTTGAATGGCGTAGAGGAGGAGGAAGAGGAGCAGCAAGAGGAGCAGCCAGAGGAGAGTCTAGCACAGGGGTCACCAACCTTTTTGAGAGCTACTTCTTGGGTACTGATCAATGCGAAGGGCTACTAGTTTGTTACACACTTACATAAATTGCCAGAAATAGCCAATTTGCTAAATTTATTATTAATAATTAATTATATTATCTATTTTTGTGGAAACACTGATCATCTTCATGATTTCTCACAATAAATATATATAGAAACCGATGAATAGGAAACTTTTTCCTGGAGTTTTGCCACAAACAATTCTAACAAGAATTATGGATATCAATAACTGGTCCCTCAACGCAATTGACACAATTTTTTCAACACGTAAGGGAGGACCGGGGGAGCCTTCGTGCCCGGACGGGACTGCACCAAGCCCCGGCGATCCAAGATGGCGCCCTATTCAAATGAATGGTTGTGCTCAGTGGCGCTTTGTGACGGCATGGGGGCTGAAAGATTAGCAGAAGTTGCCTGGAACTCGCAAAGATCTATGGGAAACTCGCCTGTATTTGGGCATCGTCTGGTCCTCCCGGTTCTGCACAGTGGATGATCTCCCATAATGCGTTGCGTCAAACACGCGTGTCTCACGCACGTGCACAGAGGGGCTTGGCTGCGCTCTGATCAATCAGAGCAGTTCATCAGAGCGGGAGTTAGAGCGAGAGCCAGACGAGCAGAGTTTGTGGCACTAAAGTGTGGATTTAAAGGAAACCGAAAGAGTTAAGAAGAAAAAAAGTTCAGGATGACAAGGGACACTAAAGAACAAGTGGGAGCCCCTTTGTTTGTCGGTCCTGTCTATTGAAGATTCAGAAGACGTATATATCTTTGGAATTCTGGTGGTGGGGATCCTCCATTTCGGGTTTGGAGTGATCCTTTTTTACCGTAAATTTGGAATGATGGCGGCTCATAAAATTCACGACCTGCTGTCCAACAAAATTAATGGGATGTACAAGGAGTTGACTCATGTTGTGGTTGAGAGTGCCGTGTCTGGACAGAGGAGAGTTGTGCTAGTGGAACAGTTGATTAAAGACCTCGCAACACGTTTACTCGAAGGGCATGCGACACTAGAAATGAGGCTGAATGACATTGTCTGCCAATCATGAACTCTCTGACTCGGCATGGATTTTCCCCTGTGTACGGAGGTTCTGAGGGTGCCGAAATTCGGTTTAATTGGATTTAATAGTATATCTGCCTTGCATTTGACAGTTAAAGTTTTTCCAATGTGGTTTTACTGCAAATGGCAAATAAATGAATCTGAATCTGAAATATAAATATGCAACACTTTATTTTTATATTTTAAGTGCACATTTTTCAAATTGAACATTTTCAAATGATCACTTCTAGTACCAGCTTCGTCAGGTAAGTCACCTGCGCCTACATCAACTGGCCACGAGTCGGAGCCAGCTCCTTGCGTCACAGACCCATCGAGGGATGAGGATGCCCCTCCAAAGAGGACCACTCGGGCCACGGCCGGAAGACACCCAAATCGCCACCACCTTCCCCAACCAGTAGGGAGTAATGCAATAGGGGCTACAAACTCGCAATTGCCTTCACCCAGAACAAGAGTGTTCCGGCCATGGCAGTAAGTACAACCGTCGGGCCGACGATTAAAGTCTCGGGGGGTAGAATGTAGTGGGGCTTTGGTGTGCCTTGTAGTTCCACCCCTGCTCCTTTTTTAAGCACCTGGGTAATTTGGAGGGCAGCCATTTTGTGCGGCCGTTGTCTTTCTCAGCTCCTGCATTTGTCTAGGAATATTCTAAGCTAAAATGCAGCTTTAATTTGCCTTACAACTAAAGAATTACATTTTATTCAGGTCTTACTGCTGTATTGCTGGACTGGAGTGGGTAGGCAGCATTAAGTCTGCTGTGGAGGTAGGCCCATAACCACTTGTTGCTCATTTTAATAATTTTTTCCCCAATGGTGACAATTGGTCTCTTTTAATTAGTGCTGGTTCCAAACCATCAAGGGTGGTAAGTTGGTGGGATGTTTTTAGTTTTATTGTCAGCCTTAACAATTATAACTTTGTTCCATACAGGCTAACCTGCTGCTGTTTTGTTTTGGCTGTTTTTATTATTTTTTGCTGTTATTTGCTTTTGCTCTAGTTTAGTTTGTTCTTTGTGTAGTGGGGCTTTGGTGTGCCCATTAGCTCCACCCCTGTAGCTCCACCCTCGCTCCACCCACTCGTTAGCTGCCCCTTTTAACCACCTTGGTAAGTTGGAGGGAAGCCATGGGTGATGGAGAGCAGTCAGAGCCGACCCGGAAGTGGACACTGCCGCTGTAGCGCGAATTCTGAAACGTTGGTCGTGAGTTAAGGGGAAAACCCAAATTAAAACCAAACTATAAGTCTGTTTGAGAGAGCCCCTAGCACACTCCTGAAGATTGCGTGTGATCACGCTATGGCAGGGTTGGGGGGGGAGTTGGGGTCGGGTGAAAGGAGTATGGACGAAGGGGGACGCACGGAGGCTAACTTTCGAAGGAAGAGGGGACTAAGTCAGGGTAGCGGGTCAGAAGACGCGAGTGAGCGAGTGGTGAGGAGGAAAATAGATCAGGAAGGGTTTAAAGTGCTGGTAAAGTTCAAAGAGGGCCATGATATTAAGTCAGTGGGGCCTGTTGCTCTCACTAAGTATCTGCGGGAGAAAGTGGGTGAGGTAATTAGAGCTAGAGTACATTCAGATGGTGATCTGATGATAGTGTGTAAAGATGAGCGCCAGCAGGTGAAAGCATTAAAACTGAAGAGTGTTTGCAAAAAAGAAGTTTTAGAGGTGAAGGAAAGAACGGCGGCAGGAGGGGTGAGTAGGGGAGTCATTTATGGTATCCCTGTAAATGAGGATCTGGGAAAGCTGAAGGAGGGCATTGAGGGAGGGCGTGCGGTTAGCCTGAAGAGGCTCAAAGCGTGGAGGGCTGGAGAGAAGGTTGACAATCTGTCAGTACTGGTGGAGTTCCAAGGGGAAGTGCTGCCTAGATATATCACTGGTGGATATTTGAACTACAATGTCAGGATGTATGAGCCCCCTCCATTGAGGTGTTTTAAATGCCAGAAGTATGGGCATATAGCAGCTTACTGCAAAGGCACACAAGCATGTGGGCGATGTGGAGGAGAACACGACTATGGTGCGTGTGGAACAGGGGTGCGAGAGAAGTGCGTCAATTCTGGGGGAGCGCACAGTGTTGGGTACAGGGAGTGTGAAGCCAGGAAGAGAGCAGCTGAAATTCAGCATGTTAGGGCCGAAGGAAAGGTCTCGTATGCTGAGGCAGTTAAGAGGGTGCAAGCAGAGTCAAATTTTGAGAGACAGCCAGCAAGAGGCGGAAAGCCCTCAGATGGTGATGGAGAAATCCTGATTGTTAAAAAGAAGGAGTTTCTGTGCTTTATGGTGGAAGTTATAAATTGTACGGCACAAGCAAAGCACAGGGCTGAGAAAATTGCCATTGTGGTAAAAAGTGCGGCTAGGTATTTAGGTATTACGGATATCACGGTGGAGAGTATTTATGAAGAGCTTCAGAACAGAGAACCAACTGAGCTGCCAGCATCCTTGCTGCAGCCGTTGGTGTCGGGGCCTGCGTCAATTGCACAAGGTAAAACCTAAAAAACAAATAAACACAAACATTTTCTTTTTTACAGTGGAATGCCAGAAGCTTGGTGGCAAATGGGCAGGAGCTTATCCTCTAATCTCCAATTTGGAGGATAAGCCCGAGGTTATCTGCGTTGTCGAGACATGGCTGAAACCTCAGGCCCTGTTTATACTGAGACGCTGCGCAGACGTTTCCAGGCTATTAACAGAAACGACCTGGCTCCTAATGCAAATTTCTCAGCGTTCACATGAGGTTGAAAAACGATGTAGTTCTAGCGCCCGGCCAGTAGTGGGCAGAGAAACTTTACAACACGACACACGACCCCGAGCCCCGTGCCCAGCCCCCCTCTCGGCAGTATACTCATTTCCTGTGCCAGACCCTCAGAGAGTACCAACATCATTCTGCATTTTAACAGCAGCTGTGAACATGGGAACTGAACCTAGAGCTTCGCGTGGTCTCGTTTGGACGAACGAAGAAGTAGAATTATCCTCTGTGCCGCGCTGGAAGTCCACGTAGCTAGTTTGTGTGGGCGGCGCAATTGTTGTTGATGTTTGTTCTCCGCTACTGCGCATGTCCAAATTTACGTGCGGGGAGCAGCGGGGAGGCGGGGGTCAGAGCAGAGGGGGGACTTCACACCTTTTTCCCCCTCGCGGGTGTGAAAAAGCTCCCTGCTGTGCAGCGTATCTGAGTTGTCCCACTCTGCAGGCTGGATCTGAACACTTACGTTTTCACCCCCCTGGAACACTGTCTTTGTATGAACGGTTGGTAGCAACCGACATCCAACTATACCGTTTTACTGCCACATTGTCTCCGTGTAAACTCAGCCTCAGTTGAGGTTTGTTTTAAATGGGTATGTGTGTGAGCGAAGTGATAGGAGTGATAGTAGTGGGGGTGGGTGTGCAACTTTTATTAAGGTGGGGGTTCCCTACAGAGTTTTAGGTAAGGGTGAAGAATTAGAGTATTTGGTAACTGAGGTTTGGTGTGAGAATAGTAGTTAAGTTGTTGTAAATTTTTATAATCCCTGTAAAAGGCTTGATATAGATGCATTAGAGTTGGTTGAAGGGCAAGAAGGGGGTAAAATAATATGGCTCGGTGACTTTAACGCACATAGCTCCTTGTGGGGAGGGGATAGAACGGATCACAATGGGTTGGTTTTAGAAGAGCTTATGGATAGGAAAGGGCTGGTGTGTTTAAATGATGGGTCGCCTACGCGTATTAGGATGAATGTGCAGTCCGTGCTGGATCTGACGTTTGTGTCTCAGTCTCTGGCAGGGCAAACAGTATGGGAAGTCTAAAGTGAGTCAACAATTGGATGTGACCACAATCCGATTATGAGCAGGATTGGCAGCAGGAGTTGCAGTGGGACTCAGTGTTTTGTGGAAAGATGGAATTTTAAGAAAGCTGAGTGGACAATGTTTGCGGTTATGAGTGATAGGAATATGGGTCGAGTAGAGGTGATAGATGATGTGGATGAATTTGCTGAAAATGTTAGTATAGCTATGGTGGAGGCTGCAAAAGCTTCTATTGCCGAGTCAAGACCTGGGGGTAGGAAGCGGAAACTGGTACCGTGGTGGACAGATGAATGCACACAGGCAATAAGCAATAGAAATGCAGTGTTTAAAGATTTTAAAAGTAATTTAAGCTTTCAAAAGTATATGGAATACAAAAGAGAGCAGGCTAAGGTGAGGAATGTAATTAGGAAAATTAAAAAGGATTACTGGATAAAGTACTGTAACACTATAGGAAGGCAAACTTCCGTAACGGATGTATGGAGAGTTGTTAAAAAAAATGAGTGGGGTGCGGCAGTCGTGGAGCTATCAGATCCTTAAGAATGGGGAGAGGGTGGCAGTGAAGGATGAAGAGAAGGCAGCGGTAATGGTTGAAGCCCTGGCTAATGTCCATAGTAGCCGTAATCTAACTGATGGTAAAAGGGATAAAAGAGCGGCAACAAAAAGGCAGTATCAGCATCTGTTAGAAAATGTAGAGGATCGGAATGGTAGTTTGAACACAAGATTTTCAGTAGGTGAACAAAAAAGGGCTATAAGTAAGGCGAAGGTAACGGCTACGGGGACAGATAGAGTGAGTTATGCAATGTTGAAACATCTTAGTAGTGAAGCTCTTAATACTGTGCTGGAGTTATTCAATAAAGTGTGGGAACAAGGGAAAATTCCAGAGAGATGGAAGAGGGCAGTCATCCTTCCAATTAGAAAGCCAGGGAAAGATCCTACTGTGGCTTCAAGTTATAGACCGATTGCTTTGTCATCCCACTTGGGGAAGATAATGGAGAGAATGATTGTGGAGAGAATTACTTTTTATGTCGAGTCTCGGAATTTGATAACGCCGGTCCAGAGCGGGTTCAGGAAAGGGAGGTCAACCATGAACCCAGTTATTAAGTTGGAGAGTGATATAAGGAAGGCCCAAGTGTGTAAGGAAGTAGTTGCGGCTGTCTTTTTTGATGTGGAAAAAGCGTATGATATGCTTTGGAAGGAGGGTGGGCTAATTAAAATCCGACGGCTTGGAATAGGTGGGAAAATGTATTATTGGATGATGGACTTTTTAAGTAATAGGCAAATCCAGGTGAGGATAAATAGTAGCTTCTCGGATTGTGTAGCCGTGGAAAATGGTGTACCCCAAGGTAGTGTTATTTCACCGATTCTGTTCTCTATTATGATAAATGATATATTTGATACGCTTGATCACAGTATAGGCAAATCACTATTCGCAGATGACGGGGCTCTCTGGAAAAGGGGTAAAAATGTTAAATTCAGTGTTAAAAGTTTGCAAAAAGCTGTCAACTCTGTTGAAGACTGGGCGGGGAAATGGAAAAGGGGTAAAAATGTTAAATTCAGTGTTAAAAGTTTGCAAAAAGCTGTCAACTCTGTTGAAGACTGGGCGGGGAAATGGGGATTCAGGTTCTCTGTTGAGAAAACCAAGGTAGTTTTCTCGTTTAAAAAAGTTGATGAAAGGGTTAAACTTCAATTGTATGGTAGGGATTTGGAAAGAGTAAACTGTGTGAGATTCCTAGGGATGCATTTTGACTCTAAGCTTACCTGGCATAATCATATTGGAAAGGTGGTCGACAAATGTAAAAAAGTCATTAACATAATTAGGTGCTTGTGCAATAAGGAGTGGGGAGCAGATATGACTTCAATGAAAAGATTATATGTTGGATTAATCAGGTCTAGTGTCGACTTTGGATGTGTGGCGTATGGGTCGGCTGCAAAGTCTGAATTACGGAAGCTTGATGTTGTTCAGGGGTCAGCCCTCAGGATGTGTTCAGGAGCAATGAGGGCCTCCCCTGTATCAGCGTTGCAGGTTGAAGTAGGTGAAATGCCGTTTGAGTTGAGGCGATTCCAAATGTCACTGACGTATTACGTTCATTTAAAGGGACATATGGAGGATCATCCAGCTAAAAGTGTCCTTATTCCAACTTGGGAGCAGGGAAAAAGTAAAAGGGAGTCGTTTAGTGCAAGTATACATGGGAAAGTGAAGCGAGCAGATGTAGAAAAGTTTGAGTTTGGTCCAACCGTAGTTTACCCACCGCACCCACCATGGCTGGTGACAGGGAAAGTGGCAGTAGCGTATGTGGTACCAGAGTTTGACACTAGGTTCTCTGCAAGAGTGTCAGATCATCTGTCAGTGTACTCAGCAGAGTTGATAGCAATTGTGATGGCGTTGCAGGGGGTGGAGCAAACTAAACCATTGAGAGCAGTTATATGTTCAGACCAGCCGCGGCGCCAGGGGTAGGCCTGGGTAGGCCGGTGCCTACCAGTTTTTTTCTTGGCCTACTCAAATTTGTTCTTCGCCTCTCAAGTCATTAGCCTTTTTTATTAAAAGTCATAATTTAAATATTGTTATTTTTAAACACATTATTGCTAATGCCTAAATGTTGCTTTCTAATGTTTTAAGAAAATATAACCCCCTGAGCGTCATCACGTTCCTACGTTGCTTCAAATATAGTCCTGTTTATTGGCTGAACAATGTTGTCCAATATCATATCACACAGCGTGAAGCTCGTTCCCGAGAACAACCAGCTATTCCTCGTCTTAAAGATTGACAACGCTCTCAAAACATTCACAACAGAGCAGCCTTTTTCATTTTAGTTTTAAGAAAGTTCAGCGTGAACTTTGTGAGGTAGAGTTGCCAGAGGCCCGGGCCCGTAGGTCCCAGAGGAGGAGGGTCAGGCCAGGCTCGCCTCGCACTGATGAGGTAAACTCTAGGCCTGTGTGAGACACTGTGGGCCTCATGTATGAAACCTGCGTACGGCCAAATCAGGGTGTAAATGAGGCGTACGCAAAATATTACACTTTTCCGCATTTATCTATCTGGATGTGAGCGTACAATACGCAAAAAATATACGCCAGGTCTGGAGGTGGTGTAAATCTACGCTGATCTCAACCTTCGGCACAACACGCCAAAACACGCATGAAATTCAAGATATGTACAACAATAAACATATTCCCTCTGGCAAAATTATATGCTGTGTTTTCATTGAGGATCATGTTTCAAAATTTGAATTTGCGCATCAGGAAAAGTCTAATGCAGCCAGCGAAAGTTCAATTTGGTAGACGTCAGCCAAAGGTAACCCCTCCAGGCCGGTTCTCATCGTGTATTATTTGATCTGTATGTTTTTAAATGTGAAGCGCTTTGTGATCCTTGCGACAGTGAAAGGCTCTATATAAATAAACTTTACGCAACAGGGATGTGTGAAAATCCCATCTATGCTGTGGCAGGCTCCTGCGCTGCGTAATTCCGCACGGCTATTTGTA